AAATTCCACATCGTAATGATAACGGCCAAAAAGAATAACAATTTAAACTTCAACTACTCTAGCTGTTAATCTTGGGAAACGTTTTCAAGAACATGGCAGTTTAAGTCAATGTACTGTGGTAATATCGTGTAAAGTTTTTTGTCTTTTTGTTTGCCAATCATTTCTTTTTCTCCTGCAGTTATTTTTGTGTGCTCTGAATACTCTGTGGGTGACTGAGTCTGAGTCATGTAAGATCCTGAGCTGAGGTTTGTGAGTGGACGTTAGTGAGAGGAACATTTGTGGTCATTCAGATTTATCCTTTTAACACAAAGTCATTAAAATAAAAGCAATCTTTTTTTCCCCTTTTTCACATCCTTCAATAATCAGGGGATCATCATTTGGTCCACATTAGCTTATGGCAGATCAGTGTCAGCAAATATGTCGACCAACAAGTTTAGAGAAATGTGAAAAGAGTAATGTCAAAAACTATGTTTGAAGTCATTCTAAATAGTATATAGACCAGAGAGCATGGCCAAATGATCAGTGACAAGTTTCAATAACTATATTTGTAATCCTTATTAAAAAGGTGTACAAAGCTCTTTAAGGAATCAGTGACAGAAAACATATTTTCATTATGAAAATAATTTGATGTAGCGTTTAAATATTTGTGAAGTGTGTTAATTGTAACGGGGTTCTGGAAACAATGAAGACTGATTCAAAGGTTTAACAAAATTAAATTCCCGATTTAAAATGAATAATAGTATTTCAATTAAGTTCCAACATGATGCCCTTTGAGAGGAGAAATAATAAAAATCCTTTAAAAAAAAAAAACTTTCTGTGCGTGTTGAAAAACGTTCCCGGTCTCATGAGATTCAAGTAAGCCGTGAAGATCAAAACAACTGTTTCTCTGTCCCTTTGTAATGACATACACAACAAAAAGCAGTAGAAATCTAGCCTGTTGCTTTCCAGAAAGCCGCTCCAGTTGAGGTCAAAAGTTTATCTTGAGTTGTTTATTGCTCAGAGCCAGTGTTAGGTAAAGCAAAATAATAATTATCCTTCCTACTATTATCATTCCAACTCCACCCTCGACTTCCAGTTCGTTCTGAAAAGGTTCTCTCGCTCTCTGATGTGTGTATGTGTGTGTGTGTGTGTGTGTGTGTGTGTGTGTGTGTGTGTGTGTGTGTGTGTGTGTGTGTATGTATGTGTGTGCGTGTGCGTGTGTACAGGTCATTAGGTTTCATGATGGCGTGCTTGATGTATGAGTTATCCGTCACTGCCAGAGGCTTAAATGTGCTCAAAGCTAACATTCTTTGCCCCATTTATAAAATAAATAAGTGAAAGTCGTCTGTTCGGATAGTGGTTCTGACTTTGATCTGTGTGTATTATTACAGTAATTAGAAGTGAGCCAAATCAAGGGTTAAAGGTCCTCATCATGCATTTATATTCTGTTTAGGGTGTTGACCATTACTGTATTATAAATAGTAAGCAATATACAGTACAATGAAATTCAGCAGCCATCACTTCCTACCCCCTATATTCAAATCCAACGAACCAACACACCTTTGAAACATTAGGATTCACGCTAAATAAATCTGAGCCGGTTTTGTCCATACAACTGCAATTATAGTGCCTGTCTCTGAAAACAATTGGCCCAACAATATGTGACTCTGGAGGAGGGCAGCTGTATGTGTGGACAGACATGGAAGCTTCGTAATGACTCACTCAGGGCTGTCATGAGCCCATAAATCAGCTGCAGGAGCTGCTGTGAAGCATCACTGAGTTTCTCCTGTCTCATCTCCACGCTTCACCTCTAACAGACACCTGTCCACAGCCAGAAGGTGACTAAATTCACTCTTTTTTCTTGATCTTCATCACACCAGAATATCGCTAGGGAGGGGAAGTGGGACAAAGCCAAAATGAGAGATAGATGGAGAGTGAGAGGGTGAAGGAAGGGAGAATGGGAGAGGATGAAGGGGTGTGAAGGAATGCAGCTGTTCAAACAGCTCTTTGATTTAGTGGTCACGGCGCCCCGTGTGACTCACTGTGGCTCAAACAGCGTGGCGATCACTCAGACGTTCGTCCCTCTGGTCCGGTGATGTTTCTTCTCTCAGTGTCGGCCTTGTGTGTGTGTGTGTGTGTGTGTGTGTGTGTGTGTGTGTGTGTGTGTGTGTGTGTGTGTGTGTGTGTGTGTGTGTGTGTGTGCAATCAGGACACAATAAAGACAGCGGTTATATAGTTTAGAGACTGACAGATATGTAAGAGATAACCAAATCAAATATAATACTGGTTGTTTTTTTACATACATACAATCCTGATAAGAATCCTTGTATGAACCCTCATCAGAAGCCAACCTCCTATCCATCCCCACCCACATCAATCACCGGACCTGGGGGGACAGAGCCTTCTCCGTCGCTGCCCCCTCCCTCTGGAACTCCCCCACAACCCATCAGACTGCACCGACCTCACCACCTTCAAAACACTCACCTCTTTAATCTGGCTTTTAATGTGTGATTGTTTTTGTATTATTTGACTTTAACTACCGGTATATATTTATTTGTTGTTCTTTTCACTATATCTGTGAAGCGTATTTGAGCACCTGTAAAAGCGCTAACAAAATAAATCTATTATTATTATTATTATTAACAGGACAGAGGTAAATCATGTTGTCAGTGCTCTTTGGAGAAAAAACTCTGTACTGTTTCTTAATCATCTCACACCTTTGTTTGTCTTCGCAGCTCATTGTAACGCAGTGGCGAACCGTCAGGGCCTTCAAGGTATTCAGAGAATACCCTGGAACACTCAGATAAAACAAACAAAAAATCGATTTAATTATATAAATAACATGTAATAAAATGTATATAAAATGAATAAATGAGAATGGTATCTGTGTTGTTGATCTGTAATATTACAATGTTACGTTGATTTGTTTGTCCTTCTCGGACCATGCACTACGCATTTCAGTGGTTTTGTGTTAGAAAAGAAAGCAACCAATCAGATCGGGGGGTGTGTGTCTACAGAAGGTCCAGTTGTGATAGACGCGGTTTGCCACTGTTGTAACGTATAGGCTGAAATGCAACTGCCGAGATATCTGACATTAGAGGATATACATCGTTATATAAGTGTGGCAGATCAATTGGTTTTACTAGAATACTAAAAACAGCTACAAACTTGTATTCGTGTTTGCTTGTTTTGTCTTACAAAACAGTCTAACTACTTTTTTGAAACACTTTATAAATAAATGAGTTGAGCATGCAGGAGAAACATGTTTTGCATGCTGGTAACAAACACTTCACTGAAGGTCATCAGACAAGTTGGCCCGGCTATCCTTACTGCAAATGTTAAGAGCGATAATAGCACGTACACACATTAATAAACACACACACACACGCCTATAAATAAACAACAGTGAAACACATCTTCAACACTGTGGGTTTGAATGTCAGGGACCGAGGAAGACAAACTGGTTCTTTAGTATGACGACATGTCACTTAAAACTAAAAAAGGCCAGCGTATCAAATGATAATAAACACAAGAAGATTTTAAAACTACTCGCTTGCTTTCTTTTATATGTTCTTAATGGAACAAGTGACTTCTCGAGGTCAGGGTGAAAACAGTATCAGCGTTTAGTTTGAGTTAAAGAGGCTTAGTTCATCATTTCATTCATAGTGACTAAATAAAGAACAACTCATTTTTATTCAAAGCCATAAATTGAACACTGAACGTCATGTGCTAAAACACATTTTGAATTTTTTGAGCGAAATGTAAGAAGTCCCTTTACGGTTTTTACTCCTGTAGATGTTTTAAGTTCTAATTTTAACTCCTCAATATACTGTTGGGTAGTTGAATCTAAAAGATCATCACATGTTTGTAGCTTTGTCCTGTGAGAACCAAAAATCTCTAAAAGAATCAGCTTTTCTAAAAAACTAATCCTTGTTTTCAGATTTGAAAAGATGCATTTTTTAGCTAATCTAAGGGGCTTTTATAAAACTTAAAACGTAGCAGATTAAATCCAAAAACAATATTGACAATCTGTTAATTGTTGTATTGTTCAAGCAAAATGCTAACATGAATGCAGGTGTTCTGCTTTTCCTTGTCAAATGTGTTAATAAATTAAATATTCGCTAAATGGCTAAAATAATCTGCAGACAAATCTGAATAAGAATAACTGTTTGTTACAAAGGAAACATTTAGCAGATAGTATGATTAGTGGATCAGCAAAAAGGTTGGCATAAGTTGGATTTAATCAATAAAAGTCTACATTTACTGGTTTAGCTTTTGTTTGTTTTGTGTAAAAATAAAATGTCCCTTTTGCTCAGGGAAGCTGTAGTCAAGATGTCACACTACAAGACATCTTATAGAGAAAATGATCTAATATTAATGAAAATAATGAGAAGTTGCAGCACTGCTTTCAGAGATGGTCCTGCACATTAAAGTCAGCGGGGGCTCACATGTTCTGGTATCTCCGCTACATTTAATCACACGTTCCCACTTTCCCCATCCTCTCCCTGGATGACACTGCTTTAAAAAGCATTGTGTGGCCTGACTGCATTCCTCCCTGTGGCCTCAGCATTCACATGAGGACACATCAGAGCCCGGAGGCAAGAGGCACAAAGAGGGAGAAGAGAGAGTGAAAGAAAAGAAGTGATGCTGCAGAGCGAGAAGAGGAGCCTTTCAGGACAAACGGGAACAAGTGCAGTGTTTCAGTAAAGAGGGTCAGCCAAGAGGAAGAGATGGAGAGGTTAAGAGACGGAATAGGAGCAGGTATGTCAAACGAGAATAAGAGTGATGATGCAAATGTGTGTACAGGGAAGTAGTCTTGTCTTTCTAACACATTTTTGTTTTAGCATCAAAAATGTTTTTGTAATACTTAAAATAGACATAAATTCCCCTTTTAGCTCCAACGAATACTTGATTATCATAATAACAAACAACTTTTTATCAACCCAAAAAAACATATTTTTAAATGTCATGCTGACCAATACAGGTGCACTTGTTGTGAACAAACACACACACAGACACACTCACCAGTAGAAGGCCACTTTATCTCCGAGCTTCCTCTCGTGGACGTTGCGGTCGAGCAGATTGTAGCAGATGTTGGTTGAAGCTCCTTCCATGAACTTGATGAATATTTCTCCTTTAGTCACATCGAAGTTGTATTCGAGGAACGGACCCGAGTGTTTGGTCTTCCAGTAAAAATCTTTAGCAATGTCGCCCCAAAACTCTGCAGGGCGGGAGGAGAGATGGACACAAAATTATAAATATATGTCTTCATCTCTCAGATACATTTGTAAGTTACAGGTCTCACGTATTGTCTTAATTAATGCAATGCTTCAGATTTAACAGGAAAGACAGTTATGTTGCAAATCACAGCTTGGCCTGTGTGGCTCTTGCAGTCAGGCCACACATGTTGCAAGATGCATTTGGTTGAAAGAGGATTTGGATTGTGGCAACCACTTTTAGAATGTACTTTAAAATGTCCAAAAACAACAACAGAGGTCCACCAAAAATCACCAGAACAAGGTGAAATTAATTATGTGTTCAATTTAAAAACTACACCTCAAAATGATTTTCGTTATAATACAGATTGTTTCTCAGTTTATAAGTTAAGCAGCGTGTCTATGAAGTGCAAGAAATTAGTGGAAAGTCAATTTCCTAAAGTTCTGAAATGTCTTGTTTTGAGCAAGCACATTTAAAAGATTATTGTATTTGTTGCTTCTTTAAAAACCCAGGCCACTGTGGAAAGGACTGAGCTTTGCTACATTAGTGCTGCTCGTTTAACCAGTTGAGCTACCAAGGTGCTTCAAAAGGTCATCATTTAAAAACAGAAAGGCAGCAAACCTTCCTTTCGGGGAAAATGCAACCAGATAAAAGCTTTTGAAAGACTGAGTGTTTCACTGAACCACCAGCACAGCTCATGAAGAGCTAAATACAATATTTATTTCAGCATTCAACAAAAACAAAACCTGCCAACATCTGTGTTTGCAACTCAAGGTGGTTAATAATCATCTCACTGTAACTTGTCCCACTTGTTGAAGTTCCTTTTGCGAAACGTTTATGGGCTAGCCTTCTCTGTGTATCATTAACATACATAAGGCATGATAACCCAGCATGGTTATTTCATCATGGCACAGCTATGGAGAATGTAATAACGGTTGTTTATAAACTCCTGAGCTCAAAGCCAGAGATCAGATTCCACCTGCAGGAAAACTTGTCTCGGTTCTCTTACATACTTTACACAGAGACTCCACTTCACAAGGAAATGAAATTAGCTAGTGTTTGATTAACAATAACTGCACTGATATGGAATCTGGTCTGGTAAATTCAGCAGACACGTCCCGCCCAAAGGACCAGAAAACCCTGACATAATCCAGCCGTACACGTTGTCTGCAGGAAAACAATGAATGAATCAAATATTTTTGACAAGCCATACTTATAGGTTTTCAGGGCTTAAAATGCAAGTTTTTTTAATTTAATGATTATTCTGTTGATTTTACTCCTGAATTGTTGTTTTTTCCATAACATGTCATAACCTAGACAAAAGTGGCCGGAATAGAGATATCTTCAATTGGATTTTTTATATTGTAAATTTAGGGCTGAGGGCTTGGCACAACCGCTAAAATAATAATATTCTGAAATGCAGCTTTAAGTCACAGTCTGAGTAAAGTCTGAATAACTCAAATGCCTTTGCCTCGGCTGAAACAACACTGTGGAGGGTTTCTGCTCTGTATACTTAAGGGTTAGTGACATAGACCTATTATATTTGCACCATCGCTTTTTAAATCAAATACATAAGACTTATATAGTTATGCAAAACGGCTAATTTCAGAACACTCTGTATTATATTTTTGATTATAGTTATCCTGGATAACAATTAAGTCTTAGTTACTTAGTTTGTCAACAATAATGTGACAATACTGTTTTAAAAAATCTTATTCCAAAGCCTGATTATTCTTAAGAATTACAACGTAATATCTCTTTTTAAATATGTAGTTTGTTATTATACTACCATCAAATCAGTGGCATAAAATGTTCTTAAAATGACAAAAATATAGTTAAATTATAATTATTTCAGGGCCAATAAATCATCAAAAATAAGTACATATCGTGGCTCCAGTAAATCGGAGCAGAAAATATAGGATAATCCAGTAAAGTAAAATGTACTTTTACCACTTTAACAACTTAATTACATTATGACAGAATTGACTTACCATCAGGATTCTCTATGGACTTTAAGTAGAGCTCCTTGTATTTCTCAAAGCTGGGGATGTGAGCTTCCTTCTTCAGCTCCTCAGACCCGTGGAAGACGTCTTCCTTCGGCACTTTTTCGGGAATCATCTCTGAAACGCTTGTTTAATACTTTCCCACGTTGGCTCTAGCACGCTTGCAGCCCAGCTTCGTTTGAATATGAATCGATATATCGACTGCACGCACAGACGCTGTCACATATATCAATATCAGCAATGCAGGACGGGAGAACAGGAGCTGCAGGAGCGAGCAGCACAATAAAGCAATGCAGCTGCAGCAAAGTTCATTCAGACTTCCTTGTTTTGCAGGATGTTTCCTTGTTGATTTCCGTAATACTTTATGTGCAAAAGCCGCGTTTGGACCCAGCACGTGCAGCTGCAGTTGTGATGCAAAGTCCGGATTAGTTTGCGTGCAGCTCTGGTGGATTTCTCGTGTGAAGTCCCACAAACAAGGACACGGCTGAGTGGGTGTCCAGTGAAGCTAACAGGCTAAGCTATCTCACACCAGTAGAAGGTGGACACGCGCTGAGACGAGGCCCTTCTATATTAGCTTTTCAGACTCTACGTGTTTTTAATTATCAAATTAAAATATTCACTCAGTCAGCAAAGGGTTTTCTAATAATGCCCTGGAGGCTGAATTGAACTGTTTTTGTCCCAGCGGTGACACTTCTTCTTCTTCGTCTCCTTTCCTTCTTCTTCTTCTTTTCTTTTGACAACGATGAACTCTGTTTGGCTCAGACCGCCAGCCAATCAGAGCGCACGGTGCCTTCGCGTACTCCACAAACGCTCCGCATTCACACTTTTAACAATGGTAAATGCGACCCCTCGTTGCGTTCAAGTAGTCACGGTTGTCGTAAATACTTAATGGTGAAAAACAGCCATTAACCTTAACTTCCTTTAACGGGCCACTTTATCTCCAAGACATGACAAGCATATTTAACCTTTAAAAGGGTTATATTATAATATAACGTTTAACTTAGTAAGACTTTGAATGCAACACTTCTACTTGTAACAAAGCATTTTTAGCTGATGTATAACTAAACTACTTACACTTTATTAAATATCTGAGAAGAAATCTTCTTCCACTTCTGCATAGAATTTATCTTCGTCTCCGCAAACATCGATATATATAGACATGTTATATAACTATCGATCGATCTAACGCTGTGATACAGCAGGGCGTGTAGGATGGTCGTTTTGACAAGAGTCTTTGTACAGTAGTGTAAGGAAGTGAAGTTTGCCCCTACAAACAGCAGGTGGCGATATTGTTCAATTTTGGAAGGAAAATTGAGGTTTAATAGACAAACATCGTCCAATTAATCCAGGAGATTACTCATTCTCAGTTCCAGTTTTTCTTGTACATTTGTAAATGGTTTGCATGCATACAATACAAATCAATTGTTTTAAGTAACTCAAGCTGTCTGATGGATGAGTTAAAGTTAAAAGGAAATATCTCAGTGAAGAAGTAGAAAGGGGCATGAGAAGATTAAGAATACTCAATACCAGCAACTCAAATACAAGCAACTCAAAATGTGTAGTATTTTACCACTGAGTGTCATCATTGAATTGTTTTTTGTTCTTTTACTTCATCTTTTCTCTCTGGAAATGTCCCTCCGGCCATCTCTGATGTCAAAGCTCTGGAGCGCTGAAGGTCAAAGGTCAACTTCAGGCCCGGACTGAATGATCATGCATGATTCACAAAGACTGCTTTGTTTTCTGTGTTCAATGTGGTTTTCTTCAAGTTTCTCTGATTTACTGCATGTTTCATATGTACAATGGACAAGGACTATTTCAAAAGTGCAGCAGAAAATAACAACTTTTGTTTGACACTTTGACAACTACAGGATTAATTTTCCTTAAATGTTGTACAAATATTTATATCCTTATCAGGATCATTTGTAATAAATTTCTTCATATTTAATTTAGCTTGATTATCAGGTCCAAAGTATAATTGTCCATTACTTTGGAAAGCAGCACTGAGTACACTTTTATACTGGTTTGATTTATCGCAACTCTTAATATTATCAAAATATACAGTTACTTTTATGCAAATACGATATTTTTCTTACATCGTGCAGCCTTAACCTACAGCAGTAAATGCAACTCACACATTAATGCAACAGTTAATATAAATCAAAAACATAATTTGTAAAGTTAAAGCAAAACTTGCAAGGAAAATTGCTAGTAATACTTTGACTTAAGTAAGGTTTTGATTGTAAAGCGTTTACTTCTAGTGGAGAATTCCCAACTGTATTAGTTATTTTACTAAATCAGATTATCTGAAATGTTCTTTGAATATAGAAAACAAACTTTATATCTACTGGGAGTTGGGAACCTCATGTGTTTGAAAATATGTACAAAGCAGAAAAATGAGCGGAACCGTGTTGACGTGGAATACTGTTTTTTTATTGTCTGTACCAAACTTTTGTTTTGTTTTCAAGAGTATAACAAACACATTAAAGTCTAGCAAAAACTGTAGACGAGAGGAAAGAGACTCACAGTGAACACGCTTTTCACCACTGATTGTTGAGAGGGAAAAGGTCAGAGGTCACACAAGCACCACCATTACCTTCAAAGCCACCATAAACACACACACCTGCATGACTTCAGCCAACATGCATTTTCAATGTAATCATGCACAAGTACTTAGAGATAATATGAATCCCCAAAGCGCCGTTAAACGTCCTGAGCATGAACTCCTTCAGGCGTGTGTGACTGAAAAACATCCAGAAAAACGTATTGTACCAAAGTTTGATACAACACACAGTCCTCCTCAGTAACACTTACAAGAATACATTTTTACAACCAGACAGGAGTCAACACACAAACTAAAATGCTTGTCAGGAAAACCACCGACCCCTGACAGGTGATTTAATTTTAACAGTTTGTTTTAGGACTCTATAAAAAACGTTTTGGGGGTTCGGAGGTTACATTGGCACTGGGTTCGGTACAGAGGCCACTATAAAAGGGGGACATCCTTTTCCCTTTTAACATTGCATAACAAAAAGCACTTATTCACTAAGGCCCGACTAAACACACTGCTTGAGGAAATAAAACAAATGGTAGGAAAGCTGCTGTTCTGGCTCACAGTATGCAGAGAGGAGGAAGTGTTTACGTCACGCAGTGTGTTTGTCCTCAGTGTGCTACGATTTGTCTTGGCATCAAAATCACCTAACAAACATGAATCGGTTTCCTCAGAAACTGGTTAATATGGAGCTTCAAAGTCATTAAATATGACTTGTGTAACATATGTGAGGCCTGGAGTGGATGGTGTAAGTACAACATTATTTGTCATTTATTGGGAGCATTTATTTTAGGTTGCATGTAGCACCAGCTTAAATGTGACTTTTCAACTGTTTAGTTTGGTTCCGTTTCTGCAATTAAAGCACCCTGTTTAAACTGTTTTGATAAAAAATTGTTTTCTTTAAGTCATGGTCAACAAAACATTTCCAAAAAGCTTGAATTGTTAGGAATTCAATGAAAATATAAACCCAACATCTTTTGAGTTGGACTGTTGGTCAAACAAAACATTCAACTTTCCAATTATCAGAAAAGTTGTGTTGCCACTTGATCGATGAAAAAACTATCCAGCAAATTAAGCCATAAAACAATATTTATAAATTGTAGAAACTCATTAAAAAAAAAAGCTCAGTTTCAGCTATGTCTCTTATCCAATAGTAGTTTTTAAGTTAAAGTAAATCTTCTATGGACAAACTTTAACAGGGCCAAAGATCCTGACAGTAAGGAGCAGTTTTTGAGTACTGCACATTTGAACTTAGAAGATAATTTGTCTCAAAAAACTGAGGAGGAAGGGAGATGTTTTCATTATTTCAGTGCCCAAAATGTTTCATATGAAGATCAGATTTAAGGTGATTATGCTTTATCAGGCCTTCACCACAGCCAGATTCACTTCCAGCTTATTTCTTTAGAATTTGAACGATAAGACCGAAGAGGCCACAAACCATTTTGACTCGTCAGTGTGATCAGTTTCCTGCTGTATACCCTAAGAACTGGGTGGCTGCGAGTAAAACAGGCTACAAGTCTGACAGTGTTCACACAAATTCGATGTAAAAGCTCTTAAATTTAAAGCTGAAAGACAGCCCGAACTTTAATCTCATAGTTGGATTCAAAACCCAAAATACTGCAAGTGTACTGCACTCTTGGAGCTCAGCGCACGGCCAAGGTTGTCTGTGCTTAGGAGAAAAGTAGCCCCTAAGTTCAAATAAGTCTTTGGATGTAGAGTAGAAAATAATACATTCTATAAAAAGTGAGCTTTAGACATTATTTTTAAAAGTCAAAGAAAGATGTTTCTTTTTAGATGATCTTAATGAAGGCAACTATGAGAAAATACAAATGAAATACCCAGGCACCCTTTGATTATGTGCAACATTCAACCCTCACGGCATTGTTTGTAAGATAGTGAAATTAAAACTGTTAAATATAAAAAAACGTCTAAAATTACTGATCAGCTGATCCGTTTGTCCAAAGAGAAAAATGCTCAACTCAGCATTTCGTCTTTACTTTAATTCTGCTGAATATGTCACAAGTGTGCATTAGTGATGCATTTTCTGCTCAACTTGTTGCAAGAAAAATAATTAACTGGAAATCCTTGATTTAAAATCTGCTACTGCGAAACACAATACATGTTTCTGCTTTATGAGCGTTTGATGGAAGACAGGCGCTCTGCTGCACCCCGACACATCTTTGTCCAAAAATACCTCCAATGTTGTTTATTTTCAGAACACATTAAAATATGACTAACAGTACAAACATTTGCCCAAACAGCAGAAACTTACATTAAAGAAAAATATAAAAGAAAAAGTTAATAAAAATGTTTTCTTATGAAAGAAAATGCTATGAATAAGGCCATTGATAGTTTAGTACTCGAATAACACATTGCTGTTAACAGTTTGTGTGGAATTAACAGTAATGGGTTGTTTCAGATTAAGCACTTTTACAGTGGAACAAACTGGTCTTAATTCAGATCCACAATACATCATATTATTAGTATTAAAATTGGTCAATCAAGGAGTGGAGATTGGAAAAGAAAAGAGGAAGACGACACCCGTCTGGCATTCCCAGAGAGGAATATGCCTTCACGGTGGCAACTCATTGATCGTGCAATTCTTTTTTCTTTTAACAGCTTCAGAAAAAAAAAAAATCCAACTTTAGAAATCAGCAAAGTATTCATTGATCTCCCTGCCAAAGCCTGAAAGAAGCACAGGAGCCACTGTCAGGTCTTAGTAAGGGCCACTGGTATTAAACAGAGACAGACCTACAGAACGCCGTTGATCATACAGTCAACCGTTTTCCACTTTTTACTAATTGGCATGTTGATCAAAAGGCGGCCATCTCACATCGACACCCAGGTTGAGGGAGCAAAAAACCTAATCTGAAGTTATCGTGAGAAGTAAACTAAACCTTAACAGAAAACAGTTGTATAAAGTTGAGACAATGACGGACAGGTGCCTGAAAAAAGGTCAAAAGAGAGTTGACGGGAAAATGTGATAAAACAGTAGCATACATTTACAAAAGCTTCTGAAGCTCAACGGGACAAAATCAGGATGATGTCCATGGTGGAAAAAAAAAAAAAGGCCATGAGAAGACCGACTGCTGCCTTGTCCCAGACTAAACCCCGAACTCGTTGGCGTCACAAGTTGCTTTTCCTCGTTTCATTATCTTAAGAAACATATCAGCTACAT